AACACCTCTGAAGTCTCCCAAAAGCATGTGGGAAAATGTGTTATGGTCTGATGAAACCAAGGTTGAACTTTTTGACCATAATTCCAAAAGATATGTTTGGCGCAAAAACAACACTGCACATCACCAAAAGTACACAATACCCACCGTGAAGCATGGTGGTGGCAGCATCATACTTTGGGGCCATTTTTCTTCAGCTGGAACTGGGGCCTTAGGTAGAGGGAACTATGAACAGTTCCAAATACCAGCCAATACTGGCACAAAACCTTCAAGCTTCTGCTAGAAAGCTGAACATGAAGAGGAACTTGATCTTTCAGCATGACAACGACCCAAAGCATACATCCAAATCAACAAAGGAATGGCTTCACCAGAAGAAGATGAAAGGGTTGGAATGGCCCAGCCAGAGCCCAGACCTGAATCTAATTGAAAATCTGTGGGGTGATCTGAAGAGGGCTGTGCACAGGAGATGCCTTTGCAATCTGGCAGATTTGGAGTGTTTTTGCAAGGAAGAGCGGGCAAATATTACCAAGTCAAGATGTGCCATGCTGATAGACTCCTCCCCAACAAGACTGAGTGCTGGAATCAAATGGTGCTTCAACAAAAGGATTAGTTTAAGGGTGTGCACACTTATGCAACCGTATTATTTGTTTTGTATTTTTAATTCTCTCCACCTAAAAGATTTCAGTTTGTTGTTCAACCGAGTTGTACAGTTTATAGGTCACAGTAAAAAAGGTTGAAAAAGTCCTGGAATTATTTAGCTTTGTCTCATTTTTTTACATCACAAACCTGACATTTTAAACAGGGGTGTGTAGACTTTTTATATCCACTGTATTCATCTAAAAAAAAGTCAATTCCCTTTATCTATCATTTACCATTGATATATTGAATATTTATATACCCCATCAGATTTTTTTTTTTTTCTTCACCATCTGTACCCAATCGTAGAGATTTCCATTCACTTCCTGTCCACACAGGAAAGTGAAAGGAAATCCCTTCAAATTAAGGAAATTCCTATGGAACACCCAAGTCACCAGAACTAGTGTCCCTATTGGAAGATTTCCCCTTTTCTGGGGACAACCCAGAATTTGGGGTTTCTTTTACTAATAATGATGAATGGGAATACAGACAATAATTAGAACCCCTGTCAGTTTTTCTTACTATGTACTCTATTCAAACCTAGAAAAAATGTTTTGCCTTTAGTTATCTCCCTCCACTGGCTTCCCATTGCCCAACGGATAAAATTCAAAACAATAACATATAAAAGCCATTTATAACTCCGCCCCCAATTACATCACCAATCTTATCTCCAAATATCACTCTCCGCTCCTCACAAGACCTCCTGCTCTCTAGCTCCCTTGTCTCCTCCTCCCATGCTCGTCTCCAGAGCTTCCCTCATCCTCTGGAACTCTCTACCCCTATTTATCAGACTATCGCCTACTCTGCTCACTTTTAGGCGATCTCTGAAAACCTCTCTTCAGGGAAGCCCATCCTGCCCTCAGCTAATAATGGAATCTTCTACTCTTCCTACCAGTCCATCCCCCACAGTTATTACCTTTTGTACCACCAACCCCTCCCTCCTAGATTGTAAGCTCCAAGGATCAGGGCCCTCCTTTCCCTCTTGTATTGAACTGTATTGTTGCTGTATTGTCTCCCTTTATATTGTAAAGCGCTGAGCAAACTGTTGGCGCTATATAAATCCTGAATAATAATAATACTTATGCTTTAATGATTTATCTCAGGTGTGCTCAACCTGTGGCCTTTAGAGTCCTCTGATGTGGCCCTCAATCTCAAACCAGGGAAGTGCATGTCCGGGTCAGCAATTCATTGATCTCAATCTGCGCTTGCTGACCCACCATTGCAGAGCATCAGAGTGCATCGAGCTGGCAGCAGAGGAAGCAGGAGCCACATAAGCTGATAATTCCACGCCTGTCCCAGGTGGAATGACACCATGTGCATTTCACCTTTCTAGCAGCCAGGAGAGCGATGCCAGCAGAAGCTGGAAGAAGAAAAGGTAAGTGTATTAACACATATACTGCGCTTTTGCAAATGACATATTAGCACCTATAAAAAGGGCTAACAACTATCAGGCTGCTTTCACACTGATCCACAGGTGCAACGCAGTGACTTCTATTATATATCCTGTGGGTTTGGTGTGCTTTCTGAAAGTGCACCATTCCCCTGAATTACACCAAAGCTGAAGTTATACTTCATGAAGTGCACAGCCCAGAGAGAAGTGGTCAGGTTTTCACTGGTAGCCCAATTGGCACATACCCAGGGGAATATTTACTGCGAGGCAAACAAGGCGTTTGCCTTGGGTGGAATCTACACAGAGGACAGGACACATGTGACAGCCGGCGGGATACTGAAGAGCGATCTGCTGCCGCTGGATGTGGATGAGGCTCTGCTGGTTATTCACGATGCTGATCAGTTCCCACAGGTAGAGCACAACCCGAACCGGGTTCTCCATCACCCAACCGGCCCAGCACTGACTGCTCTACACCGCTGACTGACAGCATCGCCCGACGGGAGGAGGAGGAGCAGCGCAGCATTAGCACCACTAGCAGGTTATGCAACAGGGAGGAGGAGAGGGATGGAGCCAGCATGACTACATTATACCGTATACAAACATATAGAGTGTCAGCTCTGGGGGTACAGAGAGGAGAGGGATGGAGCCAGCATCACTACATTGTACCCTTAGAGCTGACACTCTATATGTTTGTATACGGTATAATGTAGTGATGCTGGCTCCATCCCTCTCCTCTCTGTACCCTTAGAGCTGACACTCTATATGGCTGTATATAGTATAGAGAGGAGAGGGATGGAGCCAGCATCACTACATTAGACTATGTACGGACATACGGGCAGCACAGTGGCTAAATGGTTAGCACTTCCGCCTGGCAGTACTGGGGTTGTTGGTTCGAATCCCAGCCACGGCACCTCTTGTCTGGAGTTTGCATGTTCTCCCTGTGAGGGTTTCCTCCGGGTACTCCGGTTTCCTCCCACACTCCAAAGACATGCTGGTAGGTGAATTGGTTCCTGTCTAAATTGTCCCTAGCATGTGTATGTATGAATGTGAGTTAGGGACCTTAGATTGTACACCCCTTGAGGGTCAGGGACCAATGTGAATGTACAATATATATGTAAAGCGCTGCGTAAATTGACAGCGCTATATAAGTACCTGAAATAAAATAATATAGAATGTCAGCTCTGTGGATACAGAGAGGAGAGGGATGGAGCCAGCGTCACTACATTATATGTCTGTATACAGTATAGAGTGTCAGCTCTGGTGGTAGAGAGGAGAGAGATGGAGCCAGCATCACTACATTAGACTATATACAGACACAGAGTGGGGGGCGCCAGATTTTAGTATTGCCTGGGGCAGCGCAAAACCTAAATACACCACAATAGGATCTTTGTCCCATAATGGACTAAAAAAAGAAAAGGATTTCCTGTGCACCTTCTGAAAGCTGTATATCCAGAGTTTTCTGCTCTGCTAGGATTAGAACTCTTACAGCGTAAGACATTGTCACTGAAACCATCTTTTTACCTCCTAAGTGATATTCCCCTAACTAGGTTTTATCCCACTTTTGGTTTTCTCTCTTAGATTGTAAGCTCCAAGGATCAGGGCCCTCCTTTCCCTCTTGTATTGACCTGTATCATTGCTGTATTGTCTGTTACATTGTAAAGTGCTGAGCAAACTGTTGGCACTATATAAATCCTGTATTAGAATAATAATATCCGTTTAAAAGCAGGAAACGTCCATTCTGTTAACTTGGGAAAAATTTAAAGCAGAGCAACAGTTTAAAAAATAAATAGTGAAGTATGTTACAAAATAAAAAAGCAATATTCACCTTCTCTACCAATACTGGCCCTTGCAGAAACTCCAGTCCGGCCTACTGCAGGTTGAACATATGTCACTCAATTCGCTTCCTGTAAGCTCAGGCTGTCATGGCCACACCCCCCACCACTACTACTCAAAGATGTCATATGACCTGCCAGCAGACAGCCTGCTTTAAAGAATAATTCCAGGCATTTCTAGATTGTACAAAGTTACATTGGTCCAGCTTGGACCAATGTAACTTTGCACATACTACCTAGCCAGTGCAAAGAAAGACAGGGAGCATGGGCCTAGTGCATTACCTTCTAAAAATGAGATTTATTGAATAAAAAGCAGTATACTCACAAAAGAATAAAATCAAAAAGGCACATCACAAAATACCTAGCCAGTGCCCCTGGAATGTGGAAATAAATGGACAACTACTCTAGCGATTACTTGATTGGGGGTCCCGAGCCACGGGTCGAACTGATGCATTTTTTATTATACAGGATTTATATAGCGCCATCAGGATTTATATAGCGCCATCAGTTTGTTCAGCGCTTTCCTCCTGTATTCGATTGTATTGCAACTGTACTGTCTGCCCTCACATTGTAATCAGAGGGCCCCTGCTTGTTACAGCTTTCAATCTAAAAGATACAGGAGGTCAGCCGCTTGGCATGGGCATTGCATTTACTGAGTGAATGCAAAGCATTCTCTGACTGGACAAGGTGGAGAGTGTGACACCACTGCCTGCCTCTCCTCCTCATCCAATCAGAGAACGCAAAGCTTTCTCTGAATGGCGTCTGTCCTGAGCACCTCCTGTGTTCAGTAAGCAGAAGGGCAGCCGCTTGGCAAAAGACCCAGAAGCGGGTGGAGATCACTGGAGTAATGATTTCCAGCTTTCAGAAGGATCTGGCCAGGTGTGGCCCAATCATAGTTACATTGGTCTCTGCTGGCCAAAAACCACAGTATGTATAATATATCCATGACTGGAATTATTCTTTAGGTACATATAGGGAATTTTTTGTTTTTTTTTTTCAATTTGTGTGAGCACTACACTACAAAGCAAAACAGTGAGGACAACAAGTTTTATTAGTAACATATGGTGGAATGTTCTCTTGTAGCTGTTAGATCTTCTGTTCTAACTTTCAGCGTGGGATTCAAGGATGCATTTCCGTAACCTTACCATTGACCCGGATGGACTTCAGCTGGCCATCCTCTTCCACCTCCACTCGTTCCACTCCATTTTCCACTATCCTGTAGAGGGAAAAGACAATGAGCTTTTATAACAATGGCTGACTATCAAGGGATATATACAAGTTACCCAAAGTGAAGGCAACCAATTTGTTGGTCACATATCCAAGAGATTCCAACATTCTGAGTGTACTTGGGATTCATCTTACCTGAAGTGGACCATATGCAACAATCTCGGTGCAATCTCCCTTATATTTGCCAAAACTATGCGAGTGCCGTCCTAAACATTCCCTGCAATTTGTATCACATTAGAAAGGTCCCTGCCAGGGGCGGACTGACCATTGAGGAACTCGGGCACTGCCCAAGGGCCCGGGGTCAGTAGGGGGCCCCATGGAGGTGCCCCTTGTACCTTTTTCATAGGCTTTTTTGAGTTTGGGCAAGGACACAGGGGCCCCATGATCCCCTATTGCCTGGGAGCCCCATGAGTTGTCAGTCCGCCCCTGGTCCCTGCACTACATAACTGAACTCTATGCAAAGAGCTAACCACACAGATGTGTAAGCAAGAGTCCTGACTGCCTTGTGCATAGCCATAGTGAGGAGCCGGGTCACCCCAAATGTTAGACCGATCTTTAGAGCAAGCATTCCACTTCACCCTACTGTACTCTGAGGATGGCGGCTGGAGACCAAACCCCCTCCACCCTCCTGACTGTGCTTGCTCAGCCCCCTCACTCCCAGGGGTATCCACACGCCAATCTTCATTCCTCCTAGGGCTCAACAGCCAGAATTTACACAGGCCAGGACCTCTAGTATGCTTCCCATAAAAGACTGAAGTTGCAGATGAACTTAAGCTAAAACCTGAATTGAACAAAGTTGGGCCCGAGACCCCAAGACAGCACTCAATGTAAATATGGGAGGTAGTGGACCCCTGACCGTTTGGAAGATGCTTGCTCTTCAGTGCAATTAGTAGCTGAAAAGAGTTTTAGGCCATTCACTCTGACAAGGCTTCCTTCTCGTAATGGGGGGAATCAATGGGCAAACCAAGTCACAGCAGTCTTCTCTCCACCTCTGTGAGAACATTGCCTCATCTCCCCAAGGATCCTGAAAAGGGGACCTCACATGATACCCTGCTCTCCCCCAGCAGCTTGATCTGTCTTCCTGCTCGTCTCCTGGGGTCTGCTGACCCTACTCCTCCCTTGGCCTTTATAGGAGTTCCCTTCTTTTGGGAGAAAGCACTTTATAGGGGACCTACCCTGCCATACCTGCTTACAGATGAAATACATATGAAGGAGCTGACACAGCCCTGCATGGCAGGGTGGAAGACCTGATTTTTCTCTACTGCAGTTCACCAACACTTACAGGGCTTGCCTCTCCCCAGCAAGTGAAAGGAGAAGCAGTGCAGTGCTAAGTTAGTCTCTTCATCACTCTGCTCTCTCCTCCTCTCTGCCTGCTCCTTGCACTGCAGACCAACTGACTGGCTCCTTATGCTGCTACTCCCTCTCTCAGTCTGAGCTCTGCTCTAGAGACTGCAAGAGGCAAAGTCAGGAATTTACACTTTTTGCATCAAAAAACATAATAAAGAATACAAAGCTGTATTTTATATCTGCCAGAAGTTCAACATTAAAAACAAACATATTGGAAAGCTGTTTAGATTCTAGCCAGCCCTCCCAAAATGACAGACGAGGAATAGAAATGTGACCAGTTTCCTGCAAGACAATAGAGAGAGATTTCCTGCTTAGCATTAGTTTTATCAGCCATTACTGAGCTCTTTTTTCATCAACGGGTCTACAGCAGTTTAACCCAGAGGTAGGCAGACTTGGCTCTCCAGCCGTGGTGAAACTACAAATCCCACCATGCCTCTGGAAGTCATGCCTGTGGCTCTCAGAGCTGTAATGCCTCAAGGGACTTGTAGTCCCACAACAGCTGGCATGCTGAGGTTATCTACCCCTGGTTTAACCCATGCACAAGTCAGCCCTGCTCACATGATACCTACCGCTTGGTTGTTATTCTTTTGCCATTAACAAATTTAGTTGATGTGGAAACAGAGCGGACGTTCCCCGGCCATACCGAACCCATCACTTCCGAAAGATGAGAATGATGAGAACACTGCAGAGAGAAAACCAAGTGACTGTTAAACACAAGAGGACTCGAAGAGAACGACACAAAACCTCTAAGATACACTATATTGCCAAAAAGTACTGCACTGGTGCGCAGTCATGTTGGAACAGGAAAGGGGCATCCCCAATATCGCAAATAAAAAAAAAAAAAAATTACATATATATATATACACACACTATTTACACACACAGTGAAGGAAATAAGTATTTGCTCCCCTGATTTTGAATGTTTGCCCACTCAAAGAAATGATCAGTCTAAAAATCAAATGTTCGGTGTATTGTAACACTGAGACAGAATAGCAACAAAAAATTCAAAAGAAATGCATGTCTAACAAATGACTGATTTGCATGTTCATGAGGGAAATACCAGTAAGTATTTGATCCCCTTCACAAAACATAACTTAGGTACCATGTACACGGGACACTTCTGAACGATGGAAATTGACTGCTGGAAAACGTAGGTTAAAAAAAAAACGTCTGTTTAGTCGGGTATTAGAAGCGTTTTTTAAAGATAAGCACAGGAGAACCTCCCAAATGCCCAGAATGCACTGAAAAGTGGTAAATTATTAACTATTTCAGACTGTTTCAGAGAAATACAGAGAGTAGAAGCAGAGATAGCAGTATGTGTTAAGATAATTAGGTGTGAGTTGCTCATTAACATTTTTTTGTTTCAAGGGTGGGAAAGGTGTCTGGTGGAGGGGAGTCATTAAGGTCACCTGGCAGGGGGTCTTCATGAGGAATTTGAGGTGTGAATGGTCATTAACATATTTTTTGTTTCCAAGGGTGGGAGAGATCTGAGGTGTGAATTGGTCATTGGACATTCCAATGCTGACAAGCTTGGTAGGAACATCAGGTGTTCAGTGTTTTGTCCATTTGAGTACCTTGAAAACGCTTTATATGCATTTTTTTATGGTGAAAAAAGGCTCTGGACAGCATTGGGAACTGGAAGAGTTAAAAAAATTTTCAATGCAAATGCTTATAAACGCTATTTGCCGCGTTTACAAGCATTTTTTATGTTTGAAACACTGATAAAATTGACTGCTGAACGCAAGTTTTCTGTGTTAAAAAAAAAAAATGACTGTAAACAAAGATGTGTACATGGACACATAGGAAAACATTAGGGTGAATTTAGGGGCTGCTGAAAAAAAAAAAAAAAAAAAAAAAAAAAAAAAAACACACGCTGAAAAGCTCCCAAACGTGAGTTTATCAGCTGTAGTGTACATGAGCCCTTAGTACTTGGTGGCAAATCCCTTGTTGGCAATCACAGAGGTCAGACGTTTTTTCCTGTAGTTGGCCCCCAGGTTTGCACACATCTCAGGAGGGATTTTGGCCCACTCCTCTTGGCAGATCCTCTCCAAGTCATTAAGGTTTGGTGGCTGATGTTTGGCAACTCGAACTTTCAGCTCCCTCCACAGATTTTCAATCGGATTAAGGTCTGGAGACTGGCTAGGCCACTCCAGGATCTTAATGTGCTTCTTCTTGAGCCACTCCTTTGTTGCCTTGGCCATGTGTTTTGGGTCCTTGTCATGCTGGAACACCCATCCACGACCCATTTTCAATGACCTGGCTGAGGGAAGAAGGTTCTCACCCAAGATTTGAGGGTACATTGCCCCGTCCATCGTCCCTTTGATGCGGTGCAGTTGTCCTGTCCCCTTAGCAGAAAAACAACCCCAAAAGCAGAATGTTTCCACCACCCATGTTTGACAGTTGGGATGGTGTTCCTGGGGTCATAGGCAGCATGCCTCCTCCTCCAAACACGGCGAGTTGAGTTGATGCCAAAGAGCTCATTTTGGTCTCATCTGACCACAACACTTTCAACCAGTCCTCCTCTGCATCATTCAGATGTTCAGTGGCAAACTTCAGACGGGCCTGGACATGTGCTTTGAGCAGAGGGACCTTGCGGGCACTGCAGGATTTCAGTCCTTGTCAGCGTAGTGTGTTACCAATTGTTTTCTTGGTGACTTGTGGTCCCAGCTGCCTGGAGATCATTGACAAGATCCTCCCGTGTAGTTTTGGGATGATTCCTCACTGTTCTCATAATCATTGACACTCCACGAGGTGAGATCTTGCATGGTGCACCAGACCTAGGGAGACTGACACTTGTTTTGTGTTTCTTCCATTTGTGAATGATTGCACCAACTGTTGTCACCTTCTCACCAAGCTGCTTGGCCATAGTTTGGTAGCCCAGTCCAGCCTTGTGTAGGTCTACAATCTTGTCCCTGACATCCTTGGACAGCTCTTTGGTCTTTGCCATGGTGGAGAGTTTGGAATCTGATTTTTTGATTGCTCCTGTGGACAGGTGTCTTTTATACAGGTAACAAAATGAGATTAGCAGCACTCCCTTTAAGAGACTGCTTCTAATCTCAGCTTGTTACCTGTATGAAAGACACCGGGTAGCCAGAAATCCTGCTGAATGATAGAGGATCAAATACTACTTATTTCTCTCATGAACATGCAAATCAGTCATCATTTGTTAGACATGCATTTCTGCTGAATTTGTTGTTGCTATTCTGTCTCTCAGTGTTACAATACACCGAACATTCGATTTTTAGACTGATCATTTCTTTGTGAGTGGGCAAACATTCAACATCAGCAGGGGATCAAATACTTATTTTCTTCACTGTACATACAAAATAATTGCATTCCTTTTAATCAAGTCAGTAAATTGGATGGCCATTTTGAGCCAGGTTCATCTTTGTACTTTTCTCTATATAATTTGTTAGGTGCGAATTTTCTACGTGTTTAACAAATGCGCTTAGCACTCCACTGGGGGATTTAATAAAATAAAGATGCATTTCAATTAAAAAAAAAAAAAAAAAAAAAAAAAAAAAAAAAAAAAAAAAAAAAAAAAAAAAAAAAAAAAACAAAAAAAAAACACAGGGGACTGCCCTGTTGGCCATGTGAATGGCCTCTCCTCTAATCAATCTGCTGCTTTAAGTTCCATATCATACAATGTGGGCCATGGTGTACAGAAATGCGGCGGTCAAATCGCATTATCTACGGTTATAAATTGGTTTCTTACCCTCCTAAGAATTCCCTCCTCAGCCCCCCTCCCCCACCAGACACACGTTTTTCAGTTTTGCTGGTTTCCCTCCACCCTCCCTGAATGTCTGACCTGAGCACAGTCTGGGTGGAGAGGTCTCCTTTCATAAAGCAGCCCCATAATATTAACAAGGGCCGGACAGCAGACCTTACCTCTAGTAGTAGGAAAAGAGTCTGAAAAAAATTGTGAGGAGTGAGTGTGACGCATTTCAGGAAACAGAAAGTCATCCCCTTCAAAGAAAGAAAAAAAATATATCATTCATTTCATTTAATAGCTGTCATTTCATAAACTGTTAAAATGTATGCCTGAGAAAAAACAAATACAGGTGTACTTCGGTTTACAAATTTAAGGAGTTCTGCGGGACTTATGTAAACCGAAACGCAGTTTCCCATAGGAATGCATTGAAAACCAATTAATTCGTTCCGGAGGTCAGAAAAACGTTTGTTCAAAAAACTCTTTATAAAGTGCACTTTAAAAAAAAATAAATAAAAATTGTAAAATGCATTGAAAAACACATTAATTTGTAAACCGAGCCATTATTTTAATACGTAAACCGAAAATTACATTAACCGAGGCGTTCGTAAACCGAGGTACGCCTGTCATTAGATTTAGTCCATTTCTGCAGTACATGACCATCTCCCACATTTTGTCCTCTACTGCTCTGTAAATGGAAAGATTAATCGGATTATCCTTTCCTATATTCAATGTGTCTTCTGTGTCAGTTTAAATTGAGATAGGGCCCATTCACACCAGAAACTTTGCGTTTTTGCATGCGGTTGACACGCTTTTTGTACGTTTACATTTGTCTGCAATGCGTTTTCCCCTAAGCATTTGTCATTCAAGTCACTTTCTTTCTTGAGGCTTTTATGTGCACTGCAATGCGTTGTGGTGCATTTACATGCGTCTGCGTGCATTTGGGGTGCAGAGAATTGCAGATTGCCATATTTTTTTTTTTTTTTTTTAACTGCACTGCATTGTCTATGACCATAGGGTAACCTGGCTTTTTGGACTGTCTATGCAGTAGGGGGAATGCAGTCTAAATGGACCCAAAAAGGCATCTGGTGTGAATAAGCCCTGATCATATCCAGACTTAATCTCCTCTTCTCATGAAAGAATAAATTCAATTCCTCATAGGCTTGTCTGACATTGTGTGTAACTTCTTGGAGGAATATCCCATCATTACAGAGGATCAGAACACCTAAGTATAGTGATTTATCTAAGATGATGATTGATCTGTAATTGGCTGTAGTTATGCAATGTGACTTTTGGTGTAATGGAGATATTATAGCCGATGGTTCAACTGGATATTATTATCAGCAAATGTTATTTTAAAGTGTTACTAAACCCACAACAGTACAATCAGTCTGTAAATGCAGTAAAGCATGCTGTTATACTCACTGTGGACCCTAAGGGGTTAATCCTCCGCATTGTGTAAAAACGCAGTTTGATCCGGTCTTCGCTGTACATGCTCAGTTTAGTGTGTATTGCTAGAGGGTTTTTTTTTTCCTTGGGAGAGTGCATGTAATCAGCACAGGGCCAATCAGCACTGTCCAAACAGAGGTCAGGGTTTCTGCATCCTCCTAGAGCAGAAAGAAAACTCCTCCTACAAGCCTTAACCAGTGCTCAGCTGGACACTGAGAGAAGTTACAAGACTGCTCTAACTGCTGATGAGAAAAGGGATTTAGCAGTTTATATTTACTAAAATAATTGCATTTCCATGTTCTGTGTACTGTGGGAGAGCAGATCTAGTGAATGCAGGGTCCGGGGAGAGCAGATCTAATGAATGCAGGGTTCCGGGCAGAGCGGATATAGTGAATGCAGGGTTCCGGGCAGAGCGGATCTAATGAATGCAGGGTCCGGGCAGAGCGGATATAGTGAATGCAGGGTCCGGGCAGAGCGGATATAGTGAATGCAGGGTCCGGGCAGAGCGGATATAGTGAATGCAGGGTCCGGGCAGAGCGGATATAGTGAATGCAGGGTCCGGGCAGAGCGGATATAGTGAATGCAGGGTCCGGGCAGAGCGGATATAGTGAATGCAGGGTCCGGGCAGAGCGGATATAGTGAATGCAGGGTCCGGGCAGAGCGGATATAGTGAATGCAGGGTCCGGGCAGAGCGGATATAGTGAATGCAGGGTCCGGGCAGAGCGGATATAGTGAATGCAGGGTCCGGGCAGAGCGGATATAGTGAATGCAGGGTCCGGGCAGAGCGGATATAGTGAATGCAGGGTCCGGGCAGAGCGGATATAGTGAATGCAGGGTCCGGGCAGAGCGGATATAGTGAATGCAGGGTCCAGGGTTTAGTAACACTTTAAAGTTAAATTTCAGATATTTTTACATCATTACACTGGCCCACCAATGTGAATATGTATTCACTATGCCTGTGGGGATCCTGGTGAAATCTGGAAATCATGATGATAGGCTCTGGTACTACAATGATCTCCACTAGCTTCAGGTTCGTGTGCAGAGTAGCTGCCCTGCTGCATATGTCGCTCACTCGGCATGGGCGCCATTCAGAGAATGTTCCAATATTGCGATGAATACAAAGCATTCTCTGATTGCATTCATTCTGAAAATGGAAAGTGTTCTCTGAATGGTGCCCATGTAGAGCGGGTGATCACTTGTGTTTACAATGCAGCTGGGCGGCTGCTCAGTATGGGACCTGGAAGCTAATGGCAATCACTGGAGTACGGTGGACTACGGTGATTTCCAGCTTCCAGGGGAATTAGCACCCCCTGCCTGGAATTTATATGTTCTCCCTGTGCCTGCGTGGGTTTCCTCTAGGTACTACGGTTTCCTCCCACACTCCAAAGACATGCTGGTAGGTTAATTGGCTCCTTTCTAAATTGGTCCTAGTATGTGTATGTATGAATGTGAGTTAGGGACCTTAGATTGTACGCCCCTTGAGGGTTAGGGACTGATGTGAATGTACAATACACATATAAAGTGCTGCGTAAATTGACGGCGCTATACAAGTACCTAAAATAAATAAAATTAGCCACATATGGCATATACATATTTACATTGCTGGATCAATGTAGTTTGCAACACCAATCACACTTTCAATGGTCTGAGGTCCATCACCGGCATCTTCCACCCAGCTGCGTCTGGGTGCCGGGATCTGGCCATCTTCACTAGGCAGTGCGGGATGACGTCACTCCTGCAAATGTGCAGAAGATCAGTCATCCAGGCATGTGGGATCTGTGCTGGAATGTAAATTGAGCTGTGCATGTGCCCTCAGTGTGCATTCTAAGGGGAACAGAGCAGGCAGGTACGATTATTTTACTGCAGGAGAGACCTTGCTGGTCTCTGCAATAAAGGGCTTGGCTGCTTGCATTTGTTTTTTTGTTTTTTTAGTTCCACTTTAACACCAAGGTGGTATTATTTCCCAACAGCCCTGAAGTGATGTTGTGTTCCCTAGGAACAAAGCGGTGGTATTGATGTGAGCTGGTGAAGTCTGCTATGTTTATATCGATTTGACAAGTGTAGATGTTATCCTAAAATCTGCATAATCAGTACAGAAATCTACATTTCATACATTTTTTTTTAAAAACTGGGTCCTTAGAATTCTTATTTTTGGACACTTCTGGATAATCGACATGCAGCATCCTTCCATCACACAAACTTTGACGGGTATCTGTGGACTGTCTTACCAAAGAAGTCAGAGAAGGGGTCCCGTCCACCAAAGAATTCCTGGAATACTTCCTCTGGGCTCCGGAATGTGTAGGCAAATCCATGAAAGCGGGATCCTGAGCTGGACCTGGGCTCTGTGAGAGAGACAAATCAAAGAAAGTTGTGGCAGACCAACTAAAGAAATACAACGTGCCGGGCTGCTGGGAACTTACAGATGATCACACAAGTCATACAATGAGAGGCAACAAGAAGGCCATTTGGGGGTTACTAGCAGAGCTGCAAACCAGGATCTGAGGTTAACAAGCATTCCTGATCACAGAGAGGAATTGAACCTGATAAACTATCAGCGGCGGGTCAATAAAATGACATTTTTACCAGTGCAACACATTATCATGATATGATGAGCAGCACAGTGACTAAATGGTTAGCACTTATGCCTGGCAGTACTGGGGTTGCTGGTTCAAATCCCACCTGCCTGGAGTTTGCATGTGCTCCCTGTGTCTGCGTGGGTTTCCTCTGGGTACTCCGGTTTCCTCCCACACTTCCAAAGACATGCTGGTAGGTTAATTGGCTCCTGTATAAATTGTCCCTAATATGTGTATGTATGAATGTGAGTTAGGGACCTTAGATTGTACACCCCTTGAGGGTTAGGGACTGATGTGAATGTACAACATATATGGAAAGCGCTACATAAATTGATGGTGCTACAGAAGTAGCAAAAATAAATAAATGATATATAATGCATATCCCTATGGAATTTGGCATACGTCAGAAATATAAATTTTGCATGTCTCAGTTTGTGCAACATACAGGGGTTGATTTACTAAAGGCAAATAGACTGTGCACTCTGCAAGTGCAGTTGCTCCAGAGCTTAGTGAATGAGGTAAAGCTTCACTTTACAAAGAATACCCAATCTCCTAGATTGTGAGCTCGAAAGAGCAGGGCCCTCGATCCCCTCATGTTTGCATTGTATTGGTATTGTTCTGTCACATGTTCTGTTCCCCTCTGTAATGTACAGCGCTGAGCGAACTATTGGCGCTTTATAAATACTGTATAATAATAATTATAATAATCACGTGCAAGAAAATTAAAAAAAAAAAAAAAAAAAAAAAGAGCACGTTTCATTGCACTTGATTGGATGATCATAAACGAGCAGAAGCTCTGCTGACTTCCAAGCTCTGGAGCAACTGTACTTAGCAAAGTACACAGTATTTGTCTTTATAAGTCAGTCCCATTAACTGGGATATTGCATAGAGTTTGTGCGTCAAGTAGAAAGTGGTGCAGGAGCAGGAAACCATATAAATTATGGTCAATGTTTCTCTTTTCTGTGGATTTCCCCTAGGGTGGGCCCTATGCACTGAACAGTCATAAGTATGTGGGCACTCTTCTAAATTATGAAGTTCAGACGTGTCCAGTGTAAGGTATTTGTTGATACCAAGGCTCCATGCACACTAGCATTTTTTCTTGGCTATCATCACAGAAGGAAGCCTAAAGATGATGCACAAGAAAGCCCACAGTTTGCTGAAGACAAGCAGACCAAAGGACATGGATTACTGGAACCATGTCCTGTGGTCTGAGGACACCAAGATCAACTGATTTTGGTTCAGATGGTGTCAACCAGGTGAGGAGTACAAAGACAAGTGTGTCTTGCCTACAGTCAAGCATGGTGGTGGGAGTGTCATGGTCTGAGGCTTCATGAGTGCTGCCGGCACTGGGGAGCTACAGATCATTGAGGGAACCATGAATGCCAACATGTACTGTGACATACTGAAGCAGAGCATGATCCCCTCCCTTCGGAGACTGGGCCGCAGGGCAGTATTCCAACATGATAACGACCCCAAACACACCTCCAAGACCACCACTGCCTTGCTAAAGAAGCTGAGGGTGAAGGTGATGGACTGGCCAAGCATGTCTCCAGACCTAAACCCTATTGAGCATCTGTGGGGCCTCAAATGGAAGGTGGAGGAGCGCAAGGTCTCTAACATCCACCAGCTCCGTGGTGTCGTCATGGAGGAGTGGAAGAGGACTCCAGTGGCAACCTGTGAAGCTCTGGTGACCTCCATGCCAAGAGGGTTAAGGCAGTGCTGGAAAATAATGGCGGCCACACAAAATATTGACACTTTAGGCCCAATTTTGACATTGTCACTTAGGGTTGGAGTCACTTTTGTTGCCAGCAGTTTAGACATTAATGGCAGTGTGTTGAGTTATTTTGAGGGGACAGCAAATTTACATGTTATACAAGCTGTACACTGACTACGTCACATTGTAGCAAAGTGTCATTTCTTCAGTTGTCACATGAAAAGATAGAATCAAAGATTTACAAAAATGTGAGGGGTGTACTCACTTCTGGGAGATACTTTGTGAATGTCAAAATTGGAAACAGATGTCAAATGAGTGCTGACTGATGCCGAGAGACAGAAGGCAACCAGCCAAATGACTCAGCACACAAGTGTTTGGTAAATCATTTTCGTTTTAGCATGATACACCGCCTGTCTCACTGACCATCTTCCATCAATGCCGAGTCACTGGCCCCGGAACAAGCTGGCTATACACTGGTAGATTTTCTTTTGACGATTTTACTAATGTTTGCTTTTAACATTTGACTTTGGAATAAATGTAATTTCCCAAATTAAAACCCACATACAATATTAGATATCCAATCATTCAAGAATTTTCCATCCTTTAATTCTTGACCACAGTGATAAGAAAAGTGGTTGTAAACCTCAGACATGAAATCTGAACAAAGTACATAAATCTATAGTGTTTACTTGCCTCTCTCCAAAGCATTAAAGCGATATTAAACCGCCGGGTTTGTTTTGTTTTAATTAAAATAGCAAACATGTTATACTTACCTGCTCTGTGGTATTGCAGAGCAGCCCCAATCTTCTTCTGGGGTCCTCCGCTGGTGCTCTGGGCTCCTCCTCTTCGGCAGGTGTGCCCCCATGGAAAGCACTTGTGCGGGCTTGCTCCCAAGCTGCCCTGTCTGCATCCACTGACACAGGGGAGGCGCAGAGCAGCCAAGATCCTCCTCTTTTGGGTCCCAGCCAGCATTCATGGCTCCTCCCCCTGTAGTGCCTCCAGGGAAAGCTGCTGGCCCTGGGGACCCCACTATGTGCTTGTCCTTGTGTCGCTGCACTATGCGTCCATAGGACACATACAGCCGTGGCCCTCTGGCTGTGATTGACAGCAATGGGCTCTCACTGCTGTCTCAGCCAATGCACACAGGTTTTTTTTTCCTCCATGCATAGAATGCATGAAGGTAAAAAAATCCTTGAGCCTTTACAACCACTTGAATACATAGAATGCATGAAGGTGAAAAACCTTAAGGCTTTAGAACCACTTTAAGTATCATTTCTCTCTGCTGTCTAGTTCCTCTGTTATCAGCATGACACCGAGGAAAAAAAAAAAAAAAACAGGGGAGGTATCTCCAGCACACAGCCTGTGATTGACAGCCTCAGCCCTGTTCCTGTGTGAAGGAGCGTCCCTTCCCTCCAATCAGCTATCAGAGCTCTTGGACACTAACTGCAGCTCCCTGCCCTCCGCTTGAATGTATAGGACAAATGGCTGCAAATAAACAGGTGCAACTTATAGGAGGATTGGTTTCATCTCTGATTCTAGTCACTTCGCTGGGTATAGGTAAGGGTTTAAAACCACTTAAAGTTGGTTTAGCACCTCTAATGATTAGAAAAACTGAACAAACGTTGTTAAGAAGTTTCAAATTCAATTCTTCTATCCAGCTTTACAGCTTAAGTTTTCTGCTTTGATAATTGTTTCAGGTAAGTGATGGTCTAAAAATGTCATTGGAGAAGACTGGCAGTCAGAACTCTGCTTTAAAGGGACTTAACCCTGACCAAGATATGAGAGTAATCCATAGAATACTCACCAGGTCCTGAGAATCCTGCTTTCCCATATCGATCATAGGTTTCTCGCTTTTCCGCTAATGGACAAAAAAAAAAACAAAAAACAAAAAATACAAAAAGCGAATGTTAGCAAACAGACTATACATTATATAATGAAATCTGTTATAATTATTCCATAGGAAATGAGTACAATGCCACATTTACCATCTGATAACACTTCATAGGCTTCTGCGATGTCTTTAAACTTCTTTTCAGCCAGCTCTTTATTGTCAGGATTTTTGTCGGGGTGCCACTTTAGTGCCAGTTTCCTATATCTGTGAAAGTGAGAAGCAGAGAAGGCAAAATTGATCGCAGTTCCTACAGTGTCATAATTAGATCATTGCCAAAAATCTAGAATATTCTGCTTATTAACTGAAATTTTCATGATAAAATTTTAGCATTAAAAAAAAAAAAAAAAATTTCTAAAATGTTTTCTATCTTTTGTATATGCAGCTCCAATTAAATTATTACCTGGTGATCTTGCCATGAAGAGATATAGATAGAGAATATCTCTCTCTCATATATATATATATATATATAATATATTTTCTATCTATAAAAAAAATATTTTTTTTTTGTAGGCGGGGGCTGGAACTCCGCATTAACTTTGAATTGACACTTGCAAAAGATTGCAAAACAGTGCGACTGAAGTGTGGTGCAGGAAACGCACAGTGATTGCAGCAATTCCCGCAGCTCCAATGATGCTTGCAGATAGTCTGCAAGTTTAATGACACATACAGACTCCTACATTTAAAATTCTAAAGTGGTTAAAGAAATAAAAATCCCATCTGACCTTCCTTCCCTGGGTCCCAACAAATACAATGGACGCTCCAGATAACATCTGCTCTTACTGAGCGAGCACCTGCAAAAAGCTGGCCATACATGGATCAAAAATTTGGCCGGTTTATCAGGAAGCGGCCAATCTATGGGCACTGTGGCTGAACAGAAGTTGACAATCAACCAACCACCCTGATGGAAAATTTTTGCTCAATCGGAACGCAGTGCTTATCTGTGTATTCTGGTAGCAGAGGAGTCTCCCCACTGTCAGAATATAGAGACACAGTGTGGAGGATTCCCCCATCCATCTCGAATGTGTGGATGGGGGAATCTGGACAGTTTTTTTCCCATTCAACCCGCTGGTTGATCGGAAAAAAAAAAAAAAAAAAAAAAAAAACAAAGACTTTAGCATGAATTATGTACATTTTGAAACTTTCCAAAATATTGCCATCAATCTAATTTTGGTGCAGGCAAACCTGACGAATTTTTTTTTTATGTTACACTAATTAACGTGAACAGATCACCTTTTCCGTGAATAAAAATATTGAAAGGAAATCTAAACAAATCTAGCTGGATAGGACTCCAATGACTGACTGGTAAGAATAGCTGAATGCACATCACAAAAGCCACTAATGGGTAAAACACATATCTCTTTCCATAATGGAAATCCTCTCTTGCCTCCTGACAGTGCTCAATATTGTGCCGGCACAACCCCTTGTAATATACATAATGCCATACGTCACTTTGACAACAGATTCTGCATTGTTTGAGGACTTACGCCCGTTTGATGTCATCCTGGGTGGCATTTCTGGGCACTCCGAGAATCTCATAGTAATCCCCCATGATTCTGTGTTGTGAGAAGTTTCTGAAAGAAGCAAGGAGGAGGAAAGTTGACGGTCACCATGATACAGTGTTACCAGTCACAGACAAGGAAGGGTGTAACATATATAACGGTCTAGAGGTGACACATATACAGGAATAGTACATTACAGCAGAGGCCTCTGGGCTCCCGAATTCCCCTCCGCGATTTCTTCTCCCCATCCCTCCCTCTGGATTATTTTGGGAAGGAACACGTGGGAATGCTCAACCTGTCAGCAGCATTGGTCACGGGCAAACCTCTCTCCTTGGATGTTGAGTATATTGTTTATTGTGACTTGTTCTTTAAAGTGGTTATTTTTTTTTTTTTTTTTTAAATGTAAACCTTTACAAACAAACATGTTAAACTGGGGCAGCAAAGTGGCTAAATGGTTAACACTTCCACCTGGAAACACTAGAGTCGTTGGTTCAAATCCCAACCACGGCACCACCTGCCTGGAGTTTGTATGTTCTCCCTGTGCGGGCTTCCTATAGGTACCCCAGCTTCCCCCCCCCAGCATGTGTATGAATGCAAATTAGGAAGAAAAAAAAAAATGTCACCAGCACACCGAGGATCACCAATATGGGTCCAAAGGTTTTAATAAACCATCACATAGTTACAGCAAGGCAACATTTCAGAGTCCTGCGAGACTCCGAAACATTGCCTTGCTGTAACTATGTGATGGTTTATAAAACCTTTGGACCCATATTGGTGATCCTCGGTGTGCTGGTGACATTTTTTTCTTGCTGATTTTGTTCGCTTCTAGCCGACGGTCACTGCAGCACCCACTTATACACACAGCCATTTTTAATGCAGGAGTGTGTGCGTTTGGATCATACACTTGAATGCAAATTAGAGACCTTAGATTGTACGCCCCTTGAAGGTTAGGGACATCGATTAGATAGATATTTCCTTCGCTGTGTGTATATGTATAAGTATTTGAACCCCGGCTGATTTTGAATGTTTGCCCAATCACAAAGAAATGATCAGTCTAAAAATCAAATGTTTGGTGTATTGTAACAGACAGAATAGCAACAAAAAAATTCAAAAGAAATGCAAGTCTAAAAAATGATGCACCGATTTGCATGTTCATGAGGGAAATAGGCATTTGATCCCCTACCATTCAGCAGGATTTCTGGCTACCAGGTGTCTTTCATACAGGTAACAAGCTGAGATTAGAATCAGTCTCGTAAAGGGAGTGCTGCTAATCTCATTTTGTTACCTGTATAAAAAGACACCTGTCCACAGGAGCAATCAAACAATCAGATTCCAAACTCTCCACCATGGCAAAGACCAAAGAGCTGTCCAAGGATGTCAGGGACAAGATTGTAGACCTACACAAGGCTGGACTGGGCTACCAAACTATCACCAAGCAGCTTGGCGAGAAGGTGACAACAGTTGGTGCAATCATTCGCAAATGGAAGAAAACACAACAAAATTTCAGTCTCCCTAGGTCTGGTGCACCATGGAAGATCTCACCTCGTGGAGGTCAATGATCATGAGAAGAGTGAGGAATCGTCCCAGAACTACACGTGAGGATCTTGTCAATGACCTCCAGGCAGCTGGGACCACAGTCACCAAGAAAACAATTGGTAACACTCTATGCCAACAAGGATTGAAATCCTGCAGTGCCTGCAAGGTCCCTCTGCTCAAGAAAGCACATGTCCAGAACCGTCTGAAGTTCTCCTCTGCATCATTCAGATGTTCAGTGGCAGACTGGTTGAAAGTGTTGTGGTCAGATGAGATCAAAATCAAGTTCTTTAGCATCAACTCAACATGTTTGGAGGAGGAGGAATGCTGCCTATGACCACAAGAACACCATCCATACTGTCAAAAATGGTGGTGGAAACATTCTGCTTTGGGGGTGTTTTTTCTGCTAAAGGGACAGGACAACTGCACCGCATCAAAGGGACGATGGACGGGGCAATGTACCATCAAATCTTGGGTGAGAACCTTCCCTCAGCCGTGCATTGAAAATGGGTCGTGGATGGGTGTGACCATGCCTGATGAAGGGGTCCTGCGAGACTCTGAAATGTTGCCTTGCTGTAAGTATGTGATTGTTCATTAAAATTTTTGGAACCATATTGGTGATCCTTGGTGTGCTGGTGACATTATCCCTCTCGAGTGACCAATCACACTTCTCCGTCTTTCAATCCAATGGATGTGTCTGGGTTTGGCGGTTGCCAGGAGAACGGTACTTGCCTGACTGCACTGTGCCAAGTGTAAAGTTTGGTGGAGGGGGGATTATGGTGTGAGGTTGTGTTTCAGGGGTTGGGCTTGGCCCCCTAGTTCCAGTGAAGAGAACTCTTAAGGTGTCCGCATACTAATATATTTTGGACAATTTCATGTTCCCAACTTTGTGGGAAGAGCTTGGGGATGGCCCCTTCCTGGTCCAACATGACTGCGCAGCAGTGCACAAAGCAAGGTCCATAAAGACATGGATGAGCGATTCTGGGGTGGAGGAACTTGACTGGCCTGCATGGAGTCTGTGTGGACCCATAAAGGTGAT